TTTCCCAGTATGGCGTTATGGAATGATTCCTTCTGTATAAGTTAGTGTTCTGATGTCTGCACATATGTGTATTTTGCATGAATCCCTACAAGTAAAGGAGGACTGTAGATGGATTCCATGGAAAAAAGGCAGTAATTCTTTTTCAGGTATTTGATGATGGATGCAATAGAAGACTAACATAACAAAAAACACAGTCATTCTTCTTCAGGTACGTTTACATCCATCGGTCCATTTCCTGTAACCGCTTGTCCTATTCAGGGTTGCGGTGGGGGGGGGGGGTCCAGAGCCCAAAGGATGGGGGGCCAATGCATGACAGGGCACATTCACACACCATTCACTCACACATGCACACCTATGGGCAATTTGGTAATCACCATATTTTTGGACTGTTGGAGGAAGACCAGAGTACTTGGAGGAAACTCCATGATGACATGAGAAGAACATGCAAACTCCACAAACATGGAGCACTGCTGGAGACCCAAACCCTCTTCCTGGGATTGTGAAGCGACAGTAAGCGCTGCTCACAACACCACCCTGTTAGCTTTACACATCACAGAAAATCACAGTTGTTCCTACTCCAGCTTTGCCTTGTTCTTCATTTGACAATCATGGCAGCATCTGTTCTCTGCACTAACCTATAAAAACAGGAAAATAAAACACCAACATCCATATTTTGTTGAAGGGTGTATGTTTTTCCCTTCTGAACAGTGCCAATCCCCAACCCCTTCAGCTTTCTCCTGCAGAGCTGCACGCCTCACCCCACCCAACCGGCAGCCCCTCCACATGGGGAGTAGGACACAGCAGTCAATGCACATCAGACACCTTTGCATTCATCTCCATTCCCAGACCCCTGGGGCATCTCCACAATGTTTGAAGCAGCAGTATATGCTGAGCTGGTCAATCTCTAGCAGGACTTTGAAGGTCTAAACCAAATCCCAGAAAAAATAAAAGCCCTTTGTTCTCGGCTAAAGATGTTCAGCCCTTGTTAACCTGCCTGTACCTATGCCCCATTTGGAGCCTTGGGTTATTTGGGTATTTCTATAAACCACTGGACGTCTCCAGCCTCCAATTCCCTGTTCTTTCTGACACATGGTGGCCATACAGTGAGACAGCAATGGTATCATGTAGCTAGTCTATGTTAAACACGGTTCTTGTTATTACAATGAAATTACCAGTCCAAAAAATTACTTTATAAGGATTTTCTACACTCACTACACTGCTTAAGTATTTCAAGGGGTTCAAGGTCTGACTTGAAATGTACATTTGTTGTACATTTGTTCAGAAGGGAAAAACATTATAGACATCAGCCCTGTGATGGTTTGTGGCCCCATACTGTATCGTTCCCTGCTTTGCACCCACAGCCTCCTGGATGGGCTCCAGACTCCCCCTGCAACCCTGAATAGGAGAAGCGTTTGCAGAAAATGGATGGATGCATTATACACGTTACACCTATTTAGCGGCCACCTTTATACAAAGCAACACACATTTTTGTAATGCCGGGGTCAGCAAATCCCTGGAGTATTTGGGGGTTATGGGCCTTGCGCTGGGATTTGACCTGCTGACCTTCTGGTGACCACAGCCCCAGCGTCCTAACGTGCTGAGCCAAACAGCACCGACATAGGAATGTTCATTCACACTTCAGCAGTTAGCAAATAAAGAATTCAAAAATAGTTGTCCATAAGGTAAATGAAGATCATGTAAATAATTGGATTGTTCACACACAGGTAAGTTCACAAAGTTATTTCATCAACAATGAGAGAAAATCTTCCTGCTGAAAGGTGGAGGGGTATAATCCACAGTCTGGGGAAATGGCCCAAAACTGTAGCACAGAATGTCAGCCTCTCGGACCTGTGACCTTTTCGGCAGCTAAGGAGGGAAACTCAATAAGTTTTGCAGGCATGTAAGAAGGGCAGGAGGCTTACCGAGACAGCAGAGTCTGCGGTGGTACCCTTTCTCTAACAAAGATTTTCAAAAATAATATTCAGGGAAAAAAGAAAAGAAAACATTTACTGAACATTATGCATTTAAAGTGCTTGTGTGGCAGTGAAATAGCACGGTAGATGTGAAGGTTTCGGGGCTTGTGGCCTCGAATGGCCATTACTACTCAAAGATTTATGAAGCTGTTGAAAAACACCATTTACATAAGAGTTACAGGAACTCAAAATCTGTAGGACAGAAATCAAGTTGTGGAATTTAAGCATCCATTCCCTGCAGAGCATACAGTCATTCCAGCTTCATTCTCGAAGTCCAGAGATGCTGTCTTCAGCTCCGAAGATGGTGCCCTGGTTATGACCGGTCCTGGTTATGTTTATAATTTCTCCATCCATCCATTTGTCCGTCCATCTGTCCATCCATTCGCCCATCCATCTGTCCATCCATCCATCCATCCATCTGTCCATCCATCCATCCATCCATCCCAGGTGTTACTTTTACATTTGCCCTGGCCTTGACTGTGGAGATTATATATTCTCCCCCTGGAGGACTTTCCTTTGAGTACTCTGCTTTCCAAATATACGTGGTTATGTGATTGTGACTGTGTGTTGTCCTGCAATGGACTGGGATCCTGTCAGGAATGACCTCTGACTCCTGCCCTGTACTTCCTGGCACAGGCTACCTGTTCAGCAAAACTCTGCACTTGAGATAAGCAGTTATGAAAAATCAATGAATGCAGACTTACTTCATCTTTCTAGCTTATGAGTAAGGAGGTTGGTGAAGTAGCAGCCCTGCCTATTCAAACATATCGTGGAGGGGGGTAGACAGCAAAGATGCCCTTTATTGGCCTATAGATGCAACTCACAACAAAGCCGTTCTCTCATGTGGCTCTAACCGGTGTTTGCCATCAACTCTTACTAGTTACTCCTTTGACATTTTCTGTTTCAGCATTTTCCGACCCTGATTACTCTCCATATGAAGCTGTGAGGCTGACAGAGAATCTATAAGAATTCTATTTTAACTACTTATTTTATTTCTGGGGTGAACCCTGTGCTTTCATTTCCCAACAGCCAGGAAGCATAGATTACAGATTGCCATTGTCTGCCAAGAACAGGTGCAGAATCCTCCCTACAGCTTTGCTGTCCTTCTGAGTAAAGTCTCACCTGAATTCACTGCCAGTGGAGTATGTTTATTTAAGCCCAATTAATTTGCACCTCTTCTACTTAATTGGAAACTAATGTAATCAGAAATCTGGACATATGAGGAGTGCATTGCTCAGAGGTACCCCAGAACAGAATCCCAGTTCCAATAGCAGCTTCAAATCTTGGCTCTATGGAAGAACATCACGTCCGTCTAAGGCAGGGGTGGCCAATCTTATCCGCAAAGGGCCGGTGTGTATGCAGGTTTTTGGAATAACCTGTAGGTCAGCTGTTCAAACCCAGGTGTGAGGACTCTTCAGCCAATCAGTCCTCTAATTAGTAATCTAATTAGGGAGTTGCAGTGAAAACCTGTATACACACCGGCCCTTTGCGGATAAGATTGGCCACCCCTGCAGGTAACACACACATTTCTACAGAGGGGTCCAGCAGCAGTGCTCTGTTTAATGATATCACGGCTGTCTTCATTCATGAAAAGTTACTGAAAGTTCAGCGTAACGTAAGATTCCCGCCATCACATTTGGACGTGTTAGCGGATTAGATCGCGTCACCTTGTCATAGTTTCACCTCTCTCACAAGACCAAGGTTAAAACACTACAGTGCATGTATAATTTAGTCACTCTGTTTAGAGACAAAAATACTATTTATGTACGAGCAGGCATAACAGATGGCAGTGTATTTAAATCAAACGAGCATAAAATGCTTACACACGTAAAAATATACCGACCGTTGTCTTTCGGGATTACTTGCATTGGGTCGAGCGACACCATTCTAAGTACTAATTTAATATATTAAACTACAGCCTGAATTAACATGTGCCACAATTATTAAATTGTTGAAGGATGATATTAAATGATTTGCCATAAAGGTAACTGCCGTGCTTATGCTTATGCACGATTTTTAACAGGCGGTGTATGCACGATTTCAGAGCGCATCTACCGGGGAATGAAGGCGCTCTGACTGCGCCGGGGTCTGACACCGATCACTCTGCATGCTACCGTAAAACCCCTCAAATTCGGGCTAAGCCCAGGTTACTTACTTCTTGAATTAAATTAAAAATTGGTTAATATTATTTGTTGGATCTTCCAATTGTTCACGTTCAGCTTTCCAGATACTGAGTTTAATTTCATTGTTATCTAATAATATAACTTCCCTTATGCAGTAGGCCAGAGGTAACCAATGGAGACCCCACTTCGCTTTGAAATGCCCATTTTAATTCCCAAACAAGACTTAATAAATCAAGTCCACTGTGATAAAAAGCGATTACGACCAGACGTTTTACGCTCCTGTGACCGCTGGTGTACGGCGTATGTCCTGCTCATTTAGCGCAGGTTGGATAGTATTGGCGAAGAATGCTGCAGAAAACGGCGGAGATAACACGTCATTGTATTTTTGGCTTGTTAATTAATTAGTTTATCTTAAAAGATTTATCAATATTTTCACGACAAAACTCAGAACCGTCTAATGATACTGCATTCTGTAGGTTTTTTATATTAAATGCGGCGACAAAATGGAGAGATTGCACCACATATACACTGTTTAAAATACCTCAGTTGTTTAATTGTATAAAAAATTTAAAAAAAAACCATGATACAAAATTCAAGGTTTTACCAAATAAACCGAGACGCTGCTCTGTCACATGAATTCCACCCACAATAAACCGCACAAATCGTAATGTGACGCTTGAACCGCCGAAATATGTTTAAATAGATATATTTTCCCCCTAAATATGTGATGATTTAAGGTTCAAGGCTGGAAGCTGCTCTAGCACATATGGAGCAGATTTGCGAAGGCTGGACCTGGTCACCCGTAAAGTAGACGAATGGCTGAATATCGGTCGCGTCTAAAACAGGCGAAAGGAGCACAGGGTGAGAAAAGGCGATAGCGACGCTATCCGCGATCCCCACTCACCACACAGCAGCTGCATCCAGGCGCACGTCTTATAGACAGTGGCGGTGTTGCAGAAGAAGAACAGGGCGAAGCAGGCGATGCAGCCCAAGATGAGTACCATGGACAGCAGCACGAAGAAGGCGGCCGCTTTGAAAGCGCCGGAGGGGATCGAGCTGAAGTCGGAGAAGGTGCCATGGCAGGTGAGCTCCCGGTTGGAATTGCCGTTGCCCACGCAGTAATGGAACAAGCCGAAGTAGCCGGCGTGTGGGGTATTTACACTGTCCCCGATCCAGTAGGGCTGAATAAATACCACCACATTTATGATGGCGAAACAAATCGTGAATATCGCCCAGAGTACTCCGATGGCCCTGGAGTTTCGCATGTAGTTGTCATGGTAGATCTTGGAGGCTTCTTGCGATGGCAGCATTTTTCCCTAAATTCCCCTATATTTTCCCGGCGTTCTCCTCTTTATTGCCCCTATACCTTTTCCAATGAGCTCACGAAAACCCGCTTGAGATAACAGGGTGCCTTAAAATAGGTTAAAATACCCAGATGTTTCCCTAATAATGTGAAGGTCAGTGCAGAGATTTTTTTAAAAAGGAGAATTAAATCTAGTTATTCCGCCACGACTGATAGTGTTATACCTAAATAGTTAAAATAATTATATATATATAAACACGGAAAGTGATTCAACAGCGATGAGTAAAATCCTTTACGATTCCCCTCCTCCTTTCAAAAGGCATACAATCCGCCGACTTGGCACTCAGCACACATTGCAAATAAAAGATACATTTCAGGATAAAACTGACCAGAGCTTTTTTTTCCTATTAAGCCTAATGTGCAGAAATAATCTACATGCTTTGCGTCCCATCAGAACCGACGCTGGCGTTGACGGACAGTAAGCGCTGCCGGGGATCGTTGATGAATCTTCCGCGAGCAAACGGAGATGGAGCCCACAATGGGATCATTCGTGAGATCCTTGCTGCCAAAATCCTCTCCAAACGCAGGATGTATCCTTTTTTATCGTGCATATGAGCGAGTCCCTTCGATGGATCAGTAGAAATACAAATGCAGATGCTGTGCCTGGTGTTGCGACCGAGGCTCCGAATCCATGATTATATTTTTCGGTCCTCACTCGCTCTATCCGGTTTCCTCCCCTGCGTTTCTGCCCTCCTCGAGCCGTGTCGATGATGGCGCGTACACGCATTGGATATTGCAGGATTTTTTATGGCACCGTATCTCTCTTACCCCCTTTACAGTACGTCGCAACACTCATATAATATACAGCTCATTGAACCTGAATTTCTGTATCGACTTACCATATACTATTGACATTTTCCTTTTCTGTTTTCCCTCACCTCAAATTACAATGCTATAAACAAAAGAATTATAGTAAATAGAACATATATCAGATATCGAGGATCAGGACACAAGAGTATCACTGTAAAAAATTATAATCCTATTATCTGGATAGCATTGCGATCATTAATTAAGTTAGAAACATTTTTTTTTCTTGGATGCACATATGTGTGAATACAAAGTAAAGGATATTCTGATGCAATGCGTTAAAATTGTAATAACTCAAAACAGTGCCAGTGTTTTAAAGGTACGTTACAGAATACACATAGACAGTATATGTGATGATAATGGTTACACTGGATTTCCTAATTAAATTAAAGTATTGATAAATGTACATAGTAATATTTGTCCATGATATACACCTGCATGCCAGTGACCCGTAGGGGGAAGCTATTACAGAACATGTTAGACCATGTCAGATGGACACATGTTCACCATATTATAAACCAATATCCTAGTTGGCAGAGACACTCAGGGGGTAGAGCTGTCATGTCACTCCTCCAGGGGTTGGAGTTTGAAACTCACCCCTGCTGTGTGTGTGTGTGTGTGTGTGTGTGTGTGCGCGCGCGTGTGTAATTTGCATGTTCTGATGTCACAAAGGGTACTCTAGTTTCCAAAAATGTGCAGTTACCCAGAATGCAGTTATTAAAGTCCGATGCCCTGTGCTGCCTGAGATAGATTCCCGAAGACCCTGTACAGGATAACTGGCTTGGAGATGGATGGATGGATTGATGACATGCTGTTGGTGCCATTTTAACCCCCAAAAAAGAAAAAAAAAAAACAATTTTAAAGTTTCAACATCAACACCTTTTTATCTTTAAGCACCCCTGTCTACATAAAACATAGGAAAACAAAGGCAGCAAGTGATTTCTCCTGAAGTTCAATGGCAAAAGGACACAGCTAAGGTTTGCAATGCTACCTTGTTTTGGACACCTGTAATCTAGACAGATGACCTGGCTGTTATCAGAGGAGTAGTACACTTAATCAGTAGAACACAGCATTTTGAGCCACATTGAATGGATAAGCAAACTGATAAGGCTGTTTATGAGGACAGGTCAAGTACCTTTAGTGATAAATGGTTCACAAACCATGAATTAAAGTTATACTATGTATACTAACAGTATCTCCAAACAAGATATTAAAAATGCAAAAAAGCATATGTACAGATATCATACTAGGGGATTGGTTGACTTATGTAAATTACATTTTCCTTCTATCCATCTTCCATAACCAGTACAGAAGACATGTAGTACAGAGCTTTGGTAAGCCTGTCTCAGGAAGTGCAGGAAACAAAGCAAGTGACATCACTCTGTTTAATATTTATTTTCTCACCATAAAGCCAAAAGACAAACCATAATCAGTTTAATAATATTCATGCAAAAGCGCAAGCAAAAATTGCTTAAGGCACTTACACTGCGGACCACTATCGCCAGCCGATACCCTAGTAAGACGTTTATTTTGCTTATTTCAGTCTTTATATCTGCGTGTTGATTCTGCCATTTGCATTAACTGCTTATCCAGTTAGGGTCAGCGTGATACAGTGCACAACTGCTTTTAAAACACTAATGTAGGACAGTAATTCAACTCCAGAGACGATGAAGATAACAGGACAGAAATGAGTGCCAAAAAATCAAAAGCAAAAAAAAAAGAAACTTTCAAAGAGTATATTTTTAGACCATTGAATATCTCAGGACTTTTGGGGAGTGCCGGATATATAGGGCTGTGTGTGTACTGGATGAGATGAGATTTGGGTCTGGATGCTGAGACCCTAAGCAAGCACCCATATCCCAGCATATCCATTTGGACTCAAGGTTAATAGAGCCATTCCATTAGCTAGGCTGGTATTGACCTCAGTGTCTGCACTGAGAGAAATGTCTGGTAAGGTATTATGTCACACTTCCATGGGTTTTCACAAATGGATGCTGATATTGATTAACCTTAATATAATAATAAAAAAGTCTCCATTTACATCTCCAGCCTTCTGTGGTAATCTCATTTATCTTTCCATCTACTGTACTTAGTTTTAAGACTTCAGTGTCTTTTAGCCTTTAACTTACATAGATACAAAGGATATCTATACTCTGTCTCATATATTTACTTTTTAACTGCTGTATGGTGCATTTTTAGTTGGACGGGAATCTTGCCACTTTAAAACTGACCAGTCTGTTTTAAAGTACATAGCATTTTTAAAGGGTTGGCTTACCAGAAGTAATTGAAATAAGTGAAATAATAATTAAAAAATATTGGAATAATGAAGCCCAACTGCTTTTACTTCACCATTACCACCATTCAACTTGTGGTTACTGCAAACAGCATAAATATTTACTATTATAATACAACTGTCTGTTTTCCCATAAACTGACAAGCTTTTTGACGTCATCAACGCAAGTATAAATTTTGTGGAATGACTGAATATTTGTGCCAAAGGTCAAGCTGGCCATGACTTGTCACCGTCAGTTCACACAGTATAATAATTGTGAATTTCTAATCAAAGACTTCATACTAAATAAGTATTAAATCATTACTGATAGATTTTTAAACACCTTTGCAAACAGAGGTTGATAGCTGAAAATACAGGACCTTCTTGAGAAGTTTTCTTGGTTTGTTTTGAGGCTAGCATTTGGATATGGGGTTGCCGTCTACATAACTAGTCCGAGACACAGAATATTTACGAAGTACCTTAACCACGTGGCATTACATGGGCTGTAATGTAGAAGTGCTTTAAAATGACTTTGTACTCAAAGACGATTATTGTATTTATTTATTATGTTTTAACTCAAACGTAAAGTACAAATTAGTGCTGGTTAATGAAAAACCGGAAAAGCTGAGAAAATCTGTGCGGTGAGTATAACCGCCGTGTTTTGGCAGCAGTGTGTCACATGAGGAGGACATCTTGGGCCGTCATATGCTCCTGATAACTTCCTGTTTACCACTTGTTCGCTGTCTTCAGCTAGAGCAATAAGACATTCCCGGAACTGCAGAATACTGATGATAAAAATTAAACATAAAGATGTTTCTAGCGGTTTGTTTCTCTGGGGTGTTGAATTTGTGGATGACATAATAGGGTCCAGTCGTTTTACGAAGTGAGAAGTCCCGGTCGATTCCAATGGAAAGCGTGACTGGGCCGCGAATCCTCGGCGTTTCCTGAGCCGCTTCGGTGTAGAACCGGGGACGTCTTCACCCTGCTTCGACCGCCGGATTAACCTGTTCGTCATCCACTCAGTATTGTTGTTTTTAACCGGAATATCCTAAATATACTATGCTGAAGACTTCGAAAGGGAGGCTGTTGAGTGACGTTTTGTAACTTTTCCTTGGAAGTGATTATAAGGAATCTGTGTTAGCTGGCTGCTTTGCTAGCTCGATATCACTTCGGAGGGGGGTTGAACTCTCTGGTGCCCTGAATTCAGGACGGATACCCGGCTCCGGCCCCTTCAAGCGGGCGGTCAGGAAGAAACTGACCGGGAAGGGATGGCCTGGACGGTCGTCCCGACCCCAAGGAGCTGCGGTGTTTGAGAGAGGACGCGTCCGTTTAGAGGCCGCGGCCATGGCCGGGTCTCCCAGCACGTCGCTCGCTGGGATATCTGGCAGGAAGGGCGACGAAATCGCCGACTTGATTGACTTGTTCTCGAAAACGCAATACCGGGCGAAAGAAGTCAGTCCCAGGGTAAGAGTAGCGAATAGTCCCGGCGTGCCTCCGAGCGCCGCTTACATTTAATCCGCAGTCCGTTCATCCACTGCCTGTCGATCCATTTAATTCATTTAATGTGACGATCGATTCGTTTTGTTTTGTTAGAATTTTCTAACTACCTCGCATTAATCGATTACAATACTTTCAGACGATGCAGCATTATAGCACTTACGGCCCGGCCGGTTTTAATGGGCTGTGTGCGAGTCCTGTAACCCTGCTGTCATATCCATACAGGTGGAGATGGACAGCGTTAGTGTTTTTTTATTCGATTAAGTGTTATGCTTATTACTGTTACGGTCAGGTGGAGCGGATTGAGAAGCGGTGCTTGGAGCTCTTTGGAAGGGACTACAAGTACAGCGTGATCCAGAACGCGAACGGGGAGGTCTGCGGGCACTACCCCCGGCAGATCGTGTTCTTGGAGTACGAGAGTGCGGAGCAGAGTAAGGAGAGGTAGGTGCGCCTCTGCCACAGGATCCTGCCAATCGACATCCCGAAAAAAAAACTGACGGCAGCATCCTGGCAGCACAGATTTTTACATCAGATGGAGCAATGCAGGGCTGCCTACTCTGTTGAGCTGGCTGTCGTAAGATTTTCAATTCGAGACAATCCTTCACACCCATACAAGTATATGTAACAGTTTTATTACCTTGTAAATAGTCTGTAGGGTTTGCAAACTACCCCAACAGTTTTGGTGTAGCTAATTTTAGGTTTATAATGGAACAAAATATAGATTTGCTGTAAGATTTCTTGCAAGGGAGTATGAAAGTGTGAGTGTCACTGCAGATGGGTGAGAGCTGGGCAAGGAACTTCTGAGCTCACAAAAGACATTTGGGTTATGAGCCGGAGTAATAAGTTTTAAAAATTAAGAGTAATTTTTATGTAGCAGTGGCAATGTAGCCAAGGACCACAGAGGAGTCTTAGGAAGTCGGTGTGTCACATGTGTTAACTGCTCTTCAGTTGTGCTTGAATATTTTAATTTTTGTTATATATTTTTAATGTGTCCTGTAAGTCAAATATTTAAGTATGATTAGCCATGGGGCTGTTTTGGTCACTAAGATGTTTAGTGTTTTTTGATAAACAGGAAAGTCACCACGGGTTCAACCTGCGTACTAGTCGTCTGTCCTGGTCTTGGCAGGTTTGAGAGCACAGTGCAGATCAGCAAACTGCAGGACCTGGTGAACCGCAGCAAGATGGCCCGATGCAGGGGGCGCTTTGTCTGCCCCGTCATCCTCTACAATGGCAAGGTGAGCTGACCCATACCACCTTCACCCATACCACCAATTCTGTTTTCAAATGGTACAAGACTTCTAGATGGGGGGAGGTTGCACCAAACCAAAGGTCAGCGTTCTGGTAGCTAAGAAGGTTGTCTCTGGGGGGAGGGGGTAGGTTCTCAGGTGTCATACATGTCCTCCTTGGGTACTGATGCGTGGTACTGGCCCTTGACCACACCTGCAGTAATTCAATATGGAAATGTTCCTCGTCTCCGTGACTCAGAGGTAGCTTTAGCAAAAATAGCCAAGTGACATTCCCTCCCCCCCAATCTGATTCATCAGCAATTATAAGCAAGCATCTATTATTGTTAGTGACAACATTGTTTTTAGGCATTTATAAAAGTTTTTTTAAATGAATATATCACCATATTTACTGAAATTTTCAGGTAACTTTCAATGTTTCCATATCTACATATTATGCACAACGCCAAGCTGAAAGCTTTTACAGATTCTAATATTATGCTAATCTTTGAAGAAATGGCTTTTTCCAGTCTGTAAATTTTAAGAGCTTCCCTAGGACAATGTAAAAAAATTTCCCTAAATCATCTGTACTCTATTCAATTTTTAACTCACTGTTTGAGTAAGATCATTTTACAAGTTAAACTCTGCATATTGTGATCACCCCTGTGAGACGCATCTAACATGCTCTGCACATTACATGGGAACCGTACTGGCAGGTGTGCGATTCAATATTTCATTCATTTAAATTAGTTGAAATTTTCATGATTTAATTTACTGCCCTGCTTCTGAAATGTATGTATTTTGCAAGGCTACAGATAAATTCATACTGTACATTGGAATTTTAGATATGTTCCCTTATGATGTTGTATTTCATGTTAATAAAAGACATAGAGTGGTACCTCAGAACTCGAATTTAATCCGTTCAGAACTCCGGATCGAATCCTAAAAAGTTCGAGTTCTGATCGAATTTTCCCCATAAGAAATAATGGAAAACCAATTAATTGGTTCCTGGCCCCAAAAATTATACCTAAATATATATTTTTTTAGCATTTAAACACAAAATGAACCAGATAAAACAAGAAGAGCATATACTGTACTAAACACATCTAAACACATTTATCAAAACAGTAATTTGTAAAGTAAGAAAATAAATGTATCAAAACAATGTGTCCTGCCCTGATCGGCCGCTCCTCCTGTGTGCCACTCTACCTCGTTAACCCCGTGTGGAATCCCCGTGTGATCAGCTGTTTCTGGTTATTGTCATTAGTCCTCTGTATTTCGTCCGCGTTTCAGTTTGTTTCCCCAGTCCGGTCATTATATTGTCCGTCTGCGTTTTGCCTGCCTTACCTGCAATTAAACCCCGTATTCCCCGATACCCTGATGTCTGCGCCTTTGTCTCCGTCCCGTCCCGCTCGGCACAACAATATTATTATAATTAAATGTATTAATGGATTATTATTAATATTGAAATAATGAATAAGAAATCTTTATTTGTAAATGTATTTTATTATATAATAATAATTACTGTTACTGTCTCATTGTCTAAATGTATTTTTACTGTTTAAATATATGTATTCAGCTAGTGTAAACATACACGATGCTATCACAGCTAATGCGAGGCTGAGACTGAAGCGTTACCCTTTGTTTCTGCTGAGAGACGTGCCGCGTGACTCATTTCCCCGCGTGTACAAGTTATCTTAGGTTGGCATTCACGGTTTGACTTCTGAGATTCAGATCAAGTTCTAGGTAATTTTTTTTTCGAACTGGTTGGTTTGACTTTTAAGAATTTCGAGTTCTAATGAGTTTGAGAACTGAGGTACCACTGTATACTTATCACGCTATTTACTCTTGATAGGACAAATGACGCCCTGCTTTTATTGCAGCCTTACTCAGACTGTTTGGTTCTTCTCTTGCTAGCACATCTGCCGCTCCTCCACTCTGGCTGGCTGGGGGGAGTTGTATGGTCGGACTGGCTATAACTACATTTTCTCAGGTGAGGATCGTTACATGCTAATGTTGGGCTTCCAGGGAACAAACACTTTTCCGTTAAGTTAACCCATTATTATAACAAAGTTGGTGGCCAGTCAGAACCACCATCTTTTATTCTCACTGTCTGTAGCTCACCTGTTAAGTCTCACCCTGTCCTCTGTGCCTTGGAGTTCCTTTATGCTGATTGATGGTCGCTAAACTTAAGGTGTGTTTGAGAGAACAGGCTAGACGCTGAAATGAGAACAAACATTAAATATGAGAGGGAAATTGTAAACATTTCAGTGGTTCGTTTATGAAAAACTTTAATTTTTTGGACAAAAGTTATGTCATTAAATAGACTTCGGTTATGAAGAGGATGTCCTTTGTTTTTATACAACTGGGACACAACAGAGACCTCTTGTGGTGCATTGTACAAAATTGCTCTATATTCTGGAGTACCTCCTCTTCAGTGTAAATTTGATTATTGTTGCATAAATATAAGTTGGTCATCTGGTGATGCTGTATACTATGGAATAATCGTTTTATAATGGTGATATTCAGATAATTTAATCTATTATTCTAATTGTACTTTAACACATAACTTGGGCAATGGGCAGGGAGTGGGCTGGTTTGGGGTCGTTTCACTTAAGGTATTGATCTGTTGTTCAGCTAATTAAAAATAAAGTTGTCCTCCGAAGAGGGGGGGGTGGTGGTTGTACATTTTAAAAAAAAGACACTTATAAAACTTGAAGTAATTTCCTGTTTGGTAAATGTACTGATTTGCAAATGATTCAAGCGTGGAAGTCTGTAAGACATTGTTAGTTTATTTGATTCATTTATTAATAATGTTTTATTAATATTTTACATTGACTTGGTATAAAGTTCAATACAGAGACCTTGCTCACATTCAGACCTACTGGTGTTCTTAAAAACTCTGAACTGCATACACTGTTTCTTTTAATCACATTCAGTGTGAATTTGGATGTTGTTTGTTTTATGCATATGTGACTGTAATGATCTGTTTGGCTTCTTTGCTGTACATAACATGAATTGTTTAATGGTTTTCTCCCATCTAATACATTACGTCTTAAATATTAATAATGGCTGCCTGCAGATTGAGTCGAGGCAGACAGACGGGAGGCGGCCGGCATGGCACCTTCCCCCTCAGCCGAGTCCTCGCTGCTCCGTGCAGCTTCGTTCGCTTGGCACGCTGCGACCTACTCGTGTCCACCAGATGCCGAGAATTTAGATAAAAGAGGCTTTTGGCCAGTAACATTTGTCCTGCTTGCCAGGCACAGGGTGATTCTTCGTGTTTTATTTTTAAAATTTGGAATGAAATGTAAAACAAGAGTAATTTAATCCTTGTCCTCCTGCTTCACTCATCCTCCTGTTTTTTTTATAAGATGATTTGATTCCAGATCGGGTGGTCTTGATCTCAAATTTGTCATTCAGTCTGGCTGATGGTACAACTGTTGTAAATGTATAACGCAGAGAGTACTAGGTTACTGGCTTTTATTTAATGTAAACACAGTAGGCTAAACACACATATAAAATAATATATAGATATGGAACTGGTAATCTATGTAAAAAGAGGACTATATCGTATGATTTCTAGACCCACATCTGGGGGGAGTGGAATGGCAGGCCTGTTGTCTTCCACTTGCCAAGGTGCTGCATCTCTCTCTCTCTCTCTCTCTTTCCAGGGGGCTCTGACGACACTTGGGGGGAGTCTGAGGAGGTACCAGAGGTTGACAGTGCAGTGCGGTGAGATGATTCTGTAAAATGCGTAACTCAAATGGTAGATTTATAAATGATAATTGTTTTGCAGAATTGTGTAAATTAACATTTAGGTCATATGTAGTTAATGTTGTGCAGTTGCAGTGCTGGGTCAGATTACAATCCTGTCGCAGTGTTGTCTCTGTAAACTGACAGCGCACACGGCCGCACGGTTGTCGTGGTGAATTGTGGCCCCGTGAAAGTCGACAGGCCTTCGCCGTGTCGTCGTGTGTCAGTGCGATTTCACACGTGTGACATGGCGTGATCTGGTGCGCTGCAGGAACGGCGAGTCGCAGCTCTTTGATAAAGTTCGGGGCCTGGACATCAAGCTCCTTCGCTACCTCTCAGTGCGCTACATCTGCGACCTCATGGTGGAGAACAAGAAGGTCAAGTTTGGCCTAAAGTAAGTGACACTTTTCCAGGTCCCTCTTCCTGCATTCAGGCTCTTCTCTCCCCTCCTTCTTAAGGCTGATATATACTTCTGCTTCGAATCGACAGCGTGAGTATGGCGGAAATGTGAACTGTGCCGTACCTTACGCCATAGCATGATGCGCACCTTCCCAGAAATGTAACTACACATTGTTTTTGTTTGAGAGCGGAGAAAGCATACATCTCAGGTCTACTTATATCGCTGATTGAGACTGAAGCACTATTTATATGTAGCATTAAATAACTCACCCCAGGCATTGTAGCAAAATGTCTGCGTCACTTGCATCCGTTAAATTTGATCATGTTTCACAAGACTTAAAGTAGCTTTGACACTAAATGTAGAAGGGAAAATGCATAAGAAGTGACTTTGTAAAGGCTCATAGTTTTTCCAGATTTATCTACAGGAAGTTTGGAGAAGCACAAATATAACCAGGACTTGATAAATGGATACTTTTAAATATTAAATGTTTTTTTTGGTTTCAGTTGTGTGTTTCAACAGTTGAATATATAGCAAGATGGGAAATCGATAAATGCAACATCCAAAACTATGTATCACCAAAGTTTTGGCGGTGTAATTGCTGAGCGACACAGACACACCAGTGCACAAGTTAAAATTCTTGCAATGGCATAAACCACTTGCGTAGGTCGAGGTGTAAGCTTGATGCAGAAGTATAGATCAGCCTTTACGCTAATCTCACTCTCCTCCCCCCCCCCCCCACCTTTATCGTAATCCTGTTGCTTCCCTCCTTTTTAAATCTTAATCCTGCTCTCTCCTCCCACCTGTTTAGTGCAAGGCCTCTATCCTCTCTACTAGGCTTGGGCGGTGTGACAGTATCACCATATACCTTGGTATTTAGAAATCCCAAAGGTATTATTTTCAAGACAGTCCTCTTTGTGCGCGTGCACGGCATACGGGAAAGCTAGTGCGCGTGTCACCGCAGATCGGGCACTGACAGTGGTGTCACTAAACGAACGGTGATCTCTTTAACTTGTCTCCCTGATTCCCTAGCACTCTTCCACACTGGTGGGCCTGTTTAGGCTCTTTCTGATTCCTGAGTTTTCCGCAGCATACATGATTTATTTTTATTTTTTTTTTAAAATATATTATACTGTCATATAGAGCTGGGCGATATGGCCTAAAAATAAAATCTCCGATTTTTTCATAAATTCGATTTTAATCGATTTTCCCCTCCCATACTCAAAATCAAACTACAGATGACAAATAAATGGTTCAAAACAAGTTTAAAATTTTTTTTTTTTTTACTTTAGAGTTAAAGTGCAATCTGACAAGCCAAAAAAGATGCCTGTAAGTGAGATGGCAGACCACGCCATTGTAAACGCTTTTAGAAACTTGTAAAAACTTTTAGCATGTTAATGAATCCCGGCTTTTCCACAATATGTATGGGCACCATGTCTTTTGCAATATACATCGCGACAGCGTCTGTTATCGCCTTCCACCGTGCCCCATTCTTATCATATGGCACACAGTTCGAAAACGTGTCAGGGACGGTTGCTTGCTTAACTTTGGATGTTGTGCTGGTGCTGCGGGTATTTTCATTTCGCTGGGAGCTGCACTTCTCCCACTCCGCTGTGTGCCTCTGCTTTAGGTGCTGGAATAAATTTGTCGTGCTGCTTCCATTGGTTGCTACTTTGCAACGAGGACTTGTTTGGTCTGTGTCCGACGGCGCAAAACCGAACAATTGCCATGATGTTTGTGAATCCGCTAGAGTTTTTGGGTGCGCCGCGCTAATTTACCCGTGAAGAACGGTGCGTCGCATTAGTTCCGCTTTTGGCGCTCGCGTGTAAAATAAGTACTAAATCGATTTTCATAAAAACACATCGTCCTGAACTGTAAATTCGAATTAATCGATAAAATTGATTTATCGCCCACCTCTACTGTCATATATTGCATATTGAGGTGGAAACTCAGTGTGACCCCACTCTCCCTTTGACTGCGATCCCGCTGTTTTCCTCCTCCTCATCTTGATCTTGTGCTCTCCCTCTTTCTTAGTGTCACCTCCTCCGAGAAGGTGGACAAGGCTCAGCGCTATGCAGACTTCACCCTGATATCTGTGCCTTACCCAGGTAATGACCTGTTCGTCCGTGCGGCTCGACAGCCGTCTCAGCATATGCCTGTTTTCATTAGAGCTTCTGCCTTGTTCTTTCCAGGCTGTGAATTTTTTAAGGAATACAAAGACAGAGATTATACAGCAGATGGACTGGTCTTTAACTGGAACCAGGTATTGGCGACCTCTTTTATTATTATACCGCAGCATTATAGCTACTGGGAGACATTTTTGGTGATTCCAAATTAGCTAAATAATATTGTCTTATGTTATATGTTGTCTTAGTGTATTAAGCTTAGAGGGGCCCCCTTCTCTTCCCAGTCTGTTAATTTTGACTGATCTTATCCTCTTTGCACTCAAACTGAAGGACTTTGTGGACGCTCCCTTGACAATCCCTGCTGCCTTCACCAAGAACTTGAACATAGACTGGGGTGAATACCAGGTAGGCACTGGGTAGTTCCCACCTACTCTACAGCAACCGATGTATCCTTGATATTTGGGCCGGGGCACGAACAACATCTGGGGATTTTTATCTTCCTCTGTCCTTCTGTTCTTTGTATTGGAACTGGCCTTTTGCAATGGATGATGTAAAACGGGTACATGAGAACACAAGTACGGTCAAGTATGCATATTGAGTAGGGGTGTAACAATACATCGATTTGTATCAATATATCGATTCAACGGCAAACGATCCGATGCATCGATGTGACCGCATAAATATCGATACATGCCTTTTTATTTTCTGGCCTGTTCAAGTATTGTTTTCATGTTCCACTCCGTCGTATACATGGTCTACACCAGGGGTGCCCAATACGTCGATCGCGATCTACTGGTCGATTGCAAAGATAGTGTGGGTAGATTATATGGCTTAAAAAATAGAGGATGGATGACGCGTTCAACCGCGCCAGCTGCTGCAAAACTCCAGCAAGCGACAGAGTCGCCTCCAATTTATTTCTACTAAACTTAAGAAAGGGTATAAAAATGAATGGGGGAGCTGGACCAAGTAAGAAGCCAAAAACCTGCCACTTCCATACGGAATGGAAGGAGGAGTTTTTTTTTTCCGCAGTGTCATATTCAAAGTGCGTTTGCCTCATCTGTCAGTCTACCATTGCTATTCCGAAGAAAGGAAATGTGGAGCGGCATTTTTGGACTGTTCGTAGAAACTATTACATTAACTTCCCTCTGAAAACTGAGCTGAGAAATAGAAAGGTGAAGGAACTAAAATCCCAGTTCAATTCAACCATACTTTTATCCCAAAGGGAAATTAATATTAATAGTAATAATAATAATCTTAAAGAATACTCAATATTTTTATACATAAATATATGTCTTGCATTTTTATAGTAGGCAGATCATTCTGACTGGTCATTTATGAGTAGCTCGCAAGCTAACGTACTTTCAGAGTGTGTGTTTAGTACGGCAGTGTGTTTTTGGGACATACTTGACTATACTAGATTTTATTTAAAGCTCCCAATTAAATATGATAAAATGCTAATTATATTTGCCTTTTTAAATTCATTGAAATGTAAAGGATTGTGTGAAACTTCATAATTTCGACTACTATCCCCAGTATCGAACTGAATCGAATCGTATTGTATCGTGGGAATTTCTGAGGTATAAAAAAATTGAACCATTGCCTTAAGGAATCGATACTGTATCGGATCGCGAGGAAAGCTGTGATTTACACCCCTAATATTGAGAAACACCCTCGGTTTGGTTTCTTTGTGCCAGAATGTTGCATTGGGCTCCACTTATATGATGTCGTATGACATGCTTCCTAAAGGTGATGGACCATGTGACTTCAGCCATTTGATTTCTATTCTGCTGTCCCCCCCCCCCCAGTCTTGGGACCTGGTCCAGCAGACACAGAACTACCTGCAGATGCTTATTCACATAATCAACAGTGACGGTGAGCAACCCCACAGCCTCCTGGGAAACGACTCATTGCCCATCATATAAACCCCTCCGCGAGAGCAGTGGTCCCAAAGGCAGTTGACGTGTCTTATTTCGGTGAGGTTTGTGGTGCCGTGTCAAACCCATCTCAACTCCTGTGTCACCCCTTCACCTACAGATGACAGTGGCCTCCTGGTGCACTGTATATCAGGCTGGGACCGGACACCTCTCTTTGTGTCCCTCTTAAGAATCTCCTTATGGGCAGTAAGTTCTCCATTGGATGTGTTTTTGAATCTTTAATTCTTACCCCTATGTCCCAATCCAAGGTAAATTGCCTTGAAGTGAATTTCACTTCATTGGGGTAGAGTTTCTACCCACAAGTGTGCCCATCACCCAGTCTACTGCCCAGTTCATCTTCAAATTCCATGAGCATCTTAAAGAAGGGCATTTCTAACCTGGTGCTCAGTGACGTGTATTTTTAACCTTGGCCCACCCTCCCTGGAATACCACGTTCAGAAGCTAAGCGGTGAGCGGAGAGCAAGATGCAAGCTTCTTTTTGTTGTATGTTTTTCATCAGTTTTATTTTGTAGGACGGCTTGATACATGCCAGCCTGGAGCCGGCTGAGATTCTGTATCTGACCACCGCCTATGACTGGTTCCTCTTTGGGTGAGGGGTCGACTTTCCTTTGTCTCATGTTTTGATGTTTATTTTAAGGCACTCAAAGTTGTAAATGTGCTCGTCGGTATTGTAACGGGAGCTGAAGGTCTTCCCTGGAGGTCTCACCTAATTATTCTGTCCATTATGCATTTAA